GCGTGACATGAAAATGCACCAAAAAAGTAGTTTTGTTTTGTCCTTATTCTTGTTTTAATGACTTTTATTTAATGATTTGAGTTTTTTCAGTAAGTTGTGTGAACACATTCAACCAGTCAATCATTTATAAAATTGTTGTTTGTGAGAATCTTTGGACCCAATTGACATTTTGTGGAGTCCATGTCTGAAAACGTCTTCAGCTGCTTTTCAAAAAGAACAAAGAAAAGGAAGATTTGTTTCAGACAAATAAAACTCATGCAGACATGAGATGTGGTGTAAGACCTCCTGTCCGTGTAGACTGGGTTAATTGGCATCCGATGTGTTGGAGCAGCCAGAGGTGAGTTAGCAGGCAGGACAGCAGCCGGCAGATGTGCACTGGGATTTACTGCTCTAATCCCTAAATCTATGGGACGACCTTTTCCTCCTCAGCGCTCAACTCAAAGTCGAAATCAAACACCACTTCTCCTCATCTTCTTATATTGGTGAAATGTTTTAATTGGCTTTAATGTTTTACTCTTTATTATTATGAGTGTATTCCTTGCAGCGTTATAGAGATCGTCTGAGCAGTGGTTATCAAATGTTTGAATTTATTCATTCGTTTTGCATTAATTGGCTATTTTGCTCAATCTGCTGCGTCACATCTTCCGCTCACTGCAGGGAGCAAAACAAAAATGTGGCCAAACTTTGCATGAAAGGATTCTTTTAAAGAGCAAATATGAAAACTTGCAGCAAATCACCTCATTGTTGTGCGTGAGTGGAATCAAAGTCCCCGACCAGTGAGAGAACTGCTGTTTATTTGCTAAAGACATAAAAATCACACTTTACATTTTCTCTTTTTCACTCAGTTCAGTTATGTAATGAAGTTTAAAGCTGAGAGAAATCTGACATGTATGGTGTGAAGGTCATTTCCTAACCGTCCTCTAACAGTAACAGGACACAAACAACACAGTCTGCTGTTTTGAATGCTCATTTATTAGCCACATACAGAATAAAATAAAATTAATTGGGCCACTGGGGGTGTTTTAAACTTCTAAGTCACCGGCTGGGTGAGGTTCAGATTTAGCTTCAGTTTCTATTTTAGATTTATTTAATTATTTCTTGTGTCCTTGTGTATGTCTGTGTGTGTGTGTGTTTGTGTGTGTCTGTGTGTGTACAGGCACCCACTGTGGAGCTCCTGTTACATCACTGAAGTCATTTTGTCATCTCACTCTGCACGGCCAAAAAAAACAATCGTTTTTTTTATTTATTTAAGTTTTTTTCTTGCTCCGTCTTGATTTTTTATTTAAGTAAGTGACATTTTCCAGAATAACATCAAATAGAGCCACAAACAGCAAATACATGTGGCTGGAGGTAGGAAGGTGGCTACAGAATATGAAATGAACTCATCAGTTTTTACCCGTTTTTACTTTTTGTGCCTGTAGAAATTATTGGAATGATAATATCTCAAGAGGACAAAAAAAACAGCTTTGCACAAAGTACAAAAAACAAAGTGAGCCTGTTTGATGTTCCGCTGTGAAGCATCTGCAAAGCTGTTATTGTAACTTTGTAAAAGCGTCTTTAATGGCATTAGGATGCAAGAAAAAGAAAGAGCAGCCTCGAAAATGAGATTACCCCCACTGAATATTATTATGCATGAGTCCATTATCTGCTTTTAGCAACACGGAGAGAGCAGCGCCCCAACATTAACATTCACAATATACACGAGCAGTGAGGATGTGAGGACAAAAGGTGAGCTCATCGAGATCCTCTCTACCTCGCTGACGCTCCGGAGAACGATTCCCATGTGAAAGACGCCCAGAGAGAAACACCTACTGCCGAGCTGTTCGAGACGCTTCACTTGTTTCTCCGGTGGCTAAATACGTTTTTGTGTCTTTATCTGTTTATGCAGCTTGAGACTATGAAAGATGATTTTTTTTTAAAACCTGACTCAGTGGGTTGAATGATCTAACAAACAAAAACTGTTCTTATTTTTAGACTGAACGTAAAGTGAGTTTTCACCCTGACTGTCTTGTACCGAACTCTGTAGACGTTAGCTCCAGCAGGTTTACATTTTCCATTTCTGTATTGAAAGAACATTCCTCATGCTCGTATTTAGAAAACACACAGAGAGAAGTCGGACTCCTCGACTTATTTTGAAATATGAAATATTTATTTTGCAGCCTTGTTGAGGACAACCAGTTTGTTGTCTCATCCTTAATCTCCCATAGTCCTTCAGTGAAGTTTAAATCTAATGAATGCAAAGTCCAAAGAATATGAATCACATCAACTTCACATATATATGTATATCTTATGCACCGCAGCTCCACCAGAATATCCATGTCTGTGTAATTGTGGCTGATGCAGTCTGATCACAGCCTGCATTAACAGTCTCAGTCCCCTATGGGAAGTTCCTCGTCTGTTTTTTCTCACATTTACATAACGTGTACACATCTGACGTCTGTGTCGCGGATCTAAATTCAGATGTCACTTGAAACATCACTGACTCCTCATACAACGTATGTTTTCCTCACATATCAATACGTGTCTGTTCAGCTTTTTCTTTTTTATAAATATGAGCATAACTGGATTTTAATTGCTGAATCGCACCATGCAGCACATCCTCAGTCGTCTCCACTCGATTATTTTCATTTGTCTGAAACCAGGAAGAATTCTCTTAATGTCCAACGAACACAATCTCTAAACTTCTGCAGACTACCTGTGTTACACCCGAGGATTATGGGTCGTGCAGATAACTTGTGTTATTGAGGAGGACGTAATGTTGTTTTAAGATCTCGTAGTTTGAGGAAAACCTACCTTGGATGGTTAAAATATTACAGCTGATAACCAAAATCTCCATTCAGGAAACAAATGGGATTTTTACTTTGCTGTTGAGCTTCGACTGGAATCTTTTCTTTTGTTCGGTTAACGTTTCCCTGTGTGTCTCTCTGCCTGAGCCTGTGTGGGAACAACCGGCTGTGACCTGAATTAATGTGAGGCTCAGACCTCCCTCGGAGATGATCTATAGGTCAGAGTTAACCCTGGAAGCGACAGCGCGGCTCACAGTGTAGAGGTGAACCCGAGGCTCGGATGTCCTTACCTGTCAGCGTGGGTCAGCGCCGTCCATGTCCCGACAACCAGGCTTCCCTGCTGACTGATGGTCCGCCGATAGATCCTGTCAAGAGGCTGATTTGAAAGGGAGGTATACGACGTCCCGTAACGAGCCGGACAGAGGGCTGGTATCCCTGAAACAGTCGAGGCCCGTCCGTCAGCGGCCTGGTGTCCTATTGAAGAGTCCTTGAGCAAGTCAGTGAAAGCCGTCCTCCTCATGTCACATGAAATACACCCAGATCCCCAATGTCATTTAATGTTAATGCAGCTGTTCTCCCAGTCACCGTGTGTTTGATACTCAAAGAACTCAAGAATACTCAAGTCTTTTACAATAGTAATAAAGTGCATTGCACTCTGGCTCAAGCTTTAAATGCAGTGATGTGCCACTGATCGACGTACAATCCCCCCCCCCTGTCCATTTGTTTGTTTGTCTGTCAGAAAGATTTCTCAAAAACTACTCAACACATTTCCATAAAACTTGGTGGAAGGATGCTACATGGGCCGAGAACGACCTCATTACATTTTGCAGTAGATGTGAGCAAAGGGGCAAATCCAATAATTTCTTTTTAATCTTTCTTTGCAAGATTTTTTGACATTCTGTGACATTTACTCTCATTTTCCAGAGAATACTTCATGAATATTGAGAGAGAGAAAAAAAAAATCAGGCATATTTATGGGATTAAAATCTACGAGTGTGTGCGATTCAGCAGTTTGACTGAATTAAGGCGGAGGAACTTTCTGTTCACAGTGTTCACATCGTCGTAAGGTAAAATATTAAAGACTTTCTGAAAAGGAAATACCTCACTTTGTCATTTTGATAATAAAATAATTGTTTGAGGACTGGAATGATGAGGTTTGGTATTTTTGTAATACTTTTACCAATGTCCTGTCTGGAACCACCAGTGAAGAAGCTGCAGTAGAACAGTAAAACTTTTAAGAATTCATCCAGGAGACTGTTTGCAGTGGAGTTACGACATCAAGCTGCTTCACACAACAATTTCTCTGCCAAGTCTGTTGCAGTAATGTTCTCTGGTGGTGCTGCTGCTCACAGCGTTGCCTACATGATCTGTGATCTTACATTCTGAGAGGCATGAAGTGAATATATAACAGCTGCACCACTGTATACCACTTCTGATCAGCCATTGACTGTATCGCTATATCCGACTCCGGTGGGTGACAAATTGAAAGGGAAATATAATAACGGATGCTTCCATACAGGGAGCCGGGGGGAGTGACTGACTCGGTCTTTGAATATGTATAGAAAAAAAAATATCATGTGAATCGTTATGTTACGGTCTTCACGGTTTCCAGGGAAATGAAATGATTCTAGAAGTTTATGACAATGTTTTATTTATGAAGCTCTTTTCTGTTGTGAGTATTTAATTGATGGTTCTTCCTGAGCTGCAGGGGGTTGACCTCTCGGGGCCACCGTAGGCCTGTATATTAAATGCATCTCGGTGAGTCAGTCTAATTGTTGATTCCTCTTCAGTGAGTGACAGCAGCTCCTGCTCCACCTCCTCCCCCGAGCTGTCACACCTCACAGGAAAAAACCTCATAACACACACTTATTACTGTGATGGAGCCTAATGAAGTCACCTCCTCACACGGAGATAATCACTGTAATTGTCACAAATAGTTTGTCACCGGTAATTCTTTCTGTCGCTCATCTCTCCCTGCATTAGACAGGGGTCACTCAGAGTTGACATCAGAAGGAGGAGGAGGAGAAATGAAGCTGCACTTTGTGTTTTCATTTGATTAGGAAGCAGATGAATCCTGCAACACAAAGTGAGCATGAGGGTTTTAATAAACACACCTGCACCGGTGTGGAGCTGTGTGTGTCCACAGGAGCCGTGGATCGTGGGGAACCTTGCAGACCCCCCGCTGCTGCTGCTTCTGCTGCGACGCTGACAAAACTCCCACCTCGTCCACGGCGTTCAGATGACGCGCCTGCGCAATGGCTGCGCGCCAATACTCACAGACGCACACGGGGGCTCAGTCGGTGTTTGCAGGTTCGCTTTCCCAGTCGTCTCCGAAGTGGATTAAAGAAAACACGACGAGTGGAGTTGGACCCGGACAGTTTTTATTAGTTGGAACAAACTTCACCGCGGATTTGAGGCGGAGGGATCCGGCGGCACTTTCCCCGTGGAACAACAAACAGCGGACATCGTGAAACCCTCAGCTCCACACCTGAGGAACAAGTCCCTGATATCTAATGCGTCCCTGAGCGCAGATACGCGTTTTACAAGCCGATAACAGGAAGGCGACCCAACGCGCCAGGTAAACCAAAACACTCCTCCGCTTTTACGCGCTCGCCTGTTCGAGTCAATTCGACTCCAACTTTGACTTTTATTTCTTTTTTATATTTTATCTCCAGAGGTTTTTCGCCATGAACCAAACTGCAGGAGCCACAAATGCGTATCGCAGATGCTCCAAGGGAGGAAAGGTAAGACTGCGTCTTTCAGAGAAATTGAGATTGTGGACTGAGTTTTTTTTAAATAAACGTGTCCCCGGTGAAGTGCAGAGCTCCCGGGGCAGAGTGGCGCTGATCTCCGATGGAGAGGCTGTTTACTCGGCTTGTTTGGTTATAATTATTTCTGCTCTGGGGACAATTTATGTGCTGGATTAATCAATGTGGTTGAATGTGAGTGATGCTAATGACCAGTAAACAAGGACACTGGAAGCTTTGGATCAAGACACTCTAGTTGTTGTTGCAGACACATTTGAAATTGGAGCTCACTTGCAGTTTATCCACATTTCCTGCTCAGAGATCTTCTTCACATTCAAGATGATGGCACTGTGCAACGCTACCAAGCCTGTGACCCACATTACAGAGGCTTCTCCTCCTGCTGCTGCTGAGTGGATGTGCTGTAGTCAACTGGGAGAAGGGAGGGATGAAAAGGGAGGCAGGGGGAGACAAGCTGGAGGGAGTGCATGGTGGAGTCTTTCCAGTGGCACCAATAGGAGAAAGTGTGTGTCTCTGTGTGTGTGTCTGTGTGTGTGTGTGTGTGGCTGCTCTCATTCCCAACACATCTGCTTCCGTCAGCATGCACCTTCACTGGTGATGAAGTATGAAAGTGTATTCATCACCAGCAGCTTTGACTCATGGGAGCAGATTTCCCAGTGTTTACAAGTATTGATCCTGCAGCCACAAATATTCAGAGTTGATGTGAACTGAGGTTTGAGATGCTTCACTTCACCGATTGATCCGGTGAATGAGCTCAGACATGAGTCAACACACGCTCCTGGTCGTTCGGCTCATTTTTAATTGACTCTGACAGGTTTTCTCTGTCTTTGTCATGTGAGATGACGCAGGTGGTCTCGTGGTTCAGTCCGGTGGGCTTCACGGTGAACCACACGTGGTCGTGAATTAAAAGAGACCCTGCAGAATGCATGGTTAGGCGACCCTGCGTCCTCGTCGTTTGCATGCGTCAGATGACGACTCAAGAAAATGTAAGCCACAACAGTTAGTGGAAAGATTTTAATCCCATAACAAAGTGAATCAGCTCAGTGGGAGACGGCTGTAAGTGGCACTTCATGAGTTGCCAGGGGGATACATGTGAAAAAGTAATTTTGTTGTGGTGGTGCACTGATTTAACACTGTTGCCTCACAGCAGAGTAACTCAGAGTTTGAATGTTTCCTCTGGGAACGTGTGGCATGTAAAGATCAAGTTAACCGTTGACTCTGAACTGTCTGGGAAACAGCATTAGGTCTGCACGTTGAAGATTTAAGGTTTCAGTAACATTCAGTTGAACACATCATGACCGGTGATGAGGATGAAGTGTTGCATGTCTTTCATAAGCGTGGACATCAAACCGAGGTTGATTACATCTTATATACTGTTGCTGTTTACTTGCCTCCATCCCTGTCCCCGTATCTGCAGTGTTTCCTGTGTTTGCTCGTCCAGCAGGACAATAGTGGTGTTCATATCTAAATGTGCTTTCAGTCGCTGTTTGTTTCAATCTGTTGTGTTTCATCTCCACTTTGAGTGAGAAAATAGACTCACTCCAGACACTCTGGTCTCCAAACGCCTCCTCAGTGTCCGTCTCTATGTCCTGTGGCCGCCGCCGCCGGCAGGATCGTCTGCGATTTCAAAACTGTTTGGGCTTTTTGTGTTTGTGTCCATTTAAAGCCTCGGCTGCTGCTGTGAATTTCTCTTTGATGAGTCCTTCGTCTCTCGGTGGAGTTTCTATTTCCAGTCATGTTGACAGTCAGCCACGGAGACGTTTCATCGTGGATTAATGGCGGCCCGATTTTGGTCTGCATGTGTTCTGCGGGCCTCCCAGCGGGATGAGCCTCACACGGTCGTGGTCATCAGCTCGTGACGAGTTTTGACGGGTTTGTAAACACCTGAAAGAGACAGGAGGGAGTCTGCTGTGGGTTCAAAAGGAAAAAAAACCACCCGGTAACCATCGCGTAACCTGCATTCCTGCACCTGCGTTGTCGTTTGGTGTATTTTTGTCACTTCAGTGCGGTTAAACGCAGGCAGTGCAGCGGGATGTCACGATGAGATATATCCACTACAGCTTTATAGGATGTTGATTCTCTTATCTGCAACACCGACAGCCTGTCTCATCCTGCTTATCGCACATCAACAGCTTTTTTTTAAGGCTCTGGGAGAAAAATCATAGCAGAGGCAGACGAGCGAGTTCCTTCTGACAGAAGCGTCTGTAGACCATCATGCAGTGCGGCGACGTGCAGGAGATACTGTCGCTGCTCCTCCTCGTAGCTCTGCAGTCATTTCAACCATCACACTGTTCCTGTTGTGCTCAATTATCACACTAACACTCAATCCAACCCGCCCCGCAGGGAAGCTCCTTTCTTTCTGCGGGAGGCCTTCTGGGAAATGTAGGAAGTTATTTGGAATAGTGGAGAAGGCAGTTTGAAAGGGAAGTGGTAAATATACAGTATGAAAGAGTAACTTGGTAGTTTCAAAGATTATTAGATGAATCATTTAAGTTGTTGTTGTTTTTCAATAGTACTTATTTGCATCCTTTGTCATAGTGAAGTGAATCGTTTGGGGTTTTAAACGGCCACGATGATAGAATAAGACATTTCAAGACGTCCCCCTGGACATTTGTCAATGTTTCTGACAATTTATAGATTAATCAAGCAAAAGTTCACCACGAACTCTTCTAGTCATGACTTCATTTAACTGAATTTCTCATTTTCTGCGTGTGCTATTTCAAAAATCTCCTCCGTGCAATCCTGTTTGCACTGTGTAGATTCTGTTTACATTGTGTAATTATGTTTATCTTGCGTGTTTACTTCTTAATTACTTTTTTTTTTTTAGTGATGTTTCTCATTTTTACTTTCCCATTTGCTTCAGAAACACCCTGCAGTGAGACTAATAAAGGATTATGTTACTTTTCTTCTAAGCCTCAGTGATGCATCAGCAGGGGACCTGTCTTTACTGTGGGAGTCTCATGTTAGAAAGAGAATATGTAGAATACTTCAGTTCATACGAGGCAGTAGTTCATGGACACATTGAACTGAGTTAGAGAGAGAGAAAGCAGTAAGTCAAGGATTAGCGATTCTTGCAGGATAGAAAACGTGTGTTGATGTTGTGTTGATGTTGAAATTGATCGCACACTCAAAGGTCAAGGTTCGCTGGGTACTTTATGGTCCTGAACCTCCACATATATCAAAATCTACTGTAGAGCAAAATTGAAATTCTTGTGAGAGTCTGCATATGTTGGTTTTTCTTTTTGTCTCTTAGTCGCAAAACTGCTGGACATATTATCCCGAAACTTGGTGGAAGTATGAGGTTTATGAACCATTTAAATTGTGTTGATGATCAGGGGGCGTGTCCTGGATTTTTTTCTTCTTCTTTAACATTGTGTTGCTGTGTGTTGTTCAACATTTTCCTTGATGTCTTAGACAATAATTCATGCATCTTGTTGGAAAACAAAACATGCATGTTTATGGCCGATAGCAAAATCTGGATCTGGAGCATTTACATGTGGTTTCATCAGGGGACTGTTGTTGACACAGTTTGATCTTGTGTCTCATGTGAAAAGGAAAATATTGCAGATGGTGCATGATGAAAATTGTGTCCTAACTTGGAAGCACCACTAGAGGACAGTGTGGCGCTTTCAGTACATTCAGCTTTATGGGAGTCTTTCATATAATGAAATATATTCGAATATTTTACATCCTTTTTAAAATCTGTCCCACATTCATTCTGATTGAAAACATCAATAAAATAAATACCCGGTGAATAGTTACACCGTCAAATCTTCTGTGACTTTATTTTCCTGCTGTTCCACGGCTGTAAACTTCTTCTTTGCATTAACAGTATTTAAAATAATAACATGCAGTCGTCACACGATGTTTCTCATCCTGACCGGAGCTTGCAGCTCTGAGATTTATGTTTTGACTCCACAATTCTTTCAGCTCCTTCCCTTCGTCTTCTCCTGGTCACAGCAGGCTAGTTTGATTATCTCGGCCCTCGACAGCCCCGCGGTTCTGTGTGCGCTCGCTAAATCCCAATTAGCTTCGCCGGTTTCTGAACCATTTGCAACTTTGCTAATCTCTACATCTGCACAGCCCAGAAAATCCCCCAAATTTCTTCTGATTGCAGTTTCATAATGAGAATATGAAAGTTTAATTTGAGAGTCTTAGGGAATAAAGAGTAAATTGATGCTCCCCTGCTATGAATATTTATTAACTTCTGCTGCACCAATATACATTGATCCCATCATAAAGTTTGCAATTTCTTTCTCTTTCAAATAACTGTAAAATCCCGGAGGCTTATTTGTCCGTCTCATTACTACATGGATTTCTTTTGTGTGTTTTCAAACTAAAAGTAATTTGTCTGTGCAGCTATTGAGCTCACACCAGAATATAAATAACCTCAGCAGCAGCCAGTTGTTCATATAGAGCAAAAGGGGCTAAGCTGATCCTTCATGGTGCAGAGGAGGCGAGCTGACAGGTACTTGGATTGAGGGTAAACTTCTTAATTACAGCGGGTTTGTTGGCCAACAGCAGGCAAACACCAGCGTGAATGTGCCAAGTATCGATCCCTGCTCTCATTACACCCAGGGCCCATTGTAATGCACTGTTATCACTCCAACTCCCTCACTGGAGTCTATGGAAATCATCATTGATTTTTTTTTTCTCCTTTGCACCCTTGGTAAAAATGGCAGGAAAGCGTCTCTCTCTCTCTCTCAATCATCTTTGCTCTTTGAATTCCTGTATCTGTAGCTGCCTCCTGCTCGTTAGCACCAGTTATCTTTTTTTTTTTTTTACACTTCCTGATGTAGGAAGATGGACGACGTGACGGCTGCAGAAAAGTGAAGCCAAATCCTCTTGATTGGCCCCTAGTGGCTGGCTGTAGTATAGGTCATTAACCCCGCCTCCTCGATGTAAGTGGATTCCTTATTCATTAAAGTCATTCCTCGTTTGCTGATCAGTCTTAAGCTTTGATTCAAAGCCACCTATGA